ACAAGATGCAATAAGTATTTTTAGCACCGATCGAGAAGTACCGGTGCGGTCTTCAAAAGTCCGAAAAATATTTATTCCTTCATAGGCTTTGATAGCATCATGGTTCGCGTTACTGCTTCCTACCCGTGAGTCCCGGGTTCAAATCCCGATAATTGCAATAAAGTTTGTCTGCGTTAAGGGCGCTCACCACTCCAGCGATTTTGCAGGGCCTCACGGGGACAACGATTCCGAACGTATTTCTAAACCAATCGAGCTTAACGAGTGCTCATATCGAAAATGAAACGTTGACCTCTGTTTATATGAGAGCGATTTTCGATAAGTGGTCATTTTCATATAAAAAAGTACAACGACATAATTTGAATGCTCTTTTAACTAGGAAGGAGGTGCTTGATCGAAAATCGCTTCCATGTAAACACACGTCAACATTTTATCTTTAAAACGAGTACTCGTTGAGGTCGATCGGTTGAGAAATACGCTCAAAGTCGTTGTCCCCGTGGAGCACCTTTTTCAGGATTTTCGAGTTTCTCGCGAGGAATTTGGGCATTCCTTAGCAACCGTTGCCGACTCTAGGCGGAGCGTCCAACTGACGTGTGCAGGCGGCTGGGGGTCACTCACGTTTCGGCGCCTAGTCCAGAGGCGTCTAGCCGTTGCGTGAGTTCTATACGTGCAAAATACACACACATTTTTCGCCCGTTGCTAAACACCGCCCATTGTGTGTCACGTCTCCCTCATCCGAGCGAGAAAGTAAGTTTTGGTTACCTCCCACCGAATTCGATGCTAATGCCATCTAGCGGTGGAAGTCATCGTCCCCACTTTGGTGGTGAACGCCGTTAAAAGCAGCAGAATTTGTCTGCATAACTGTACTGAACAGGTTCGCGAACAGACTTAGCTCAAAAAGTGTTATGAATTTCATTTTTTTCACAAATACGTATGCATATGAAATGCATATCTGTAGACATGGATTAGTGATCTATTGTAGATGTCTACGATATATATTACATATCATATCCGGAAATCTAACCTTGAGTGTATCTAAAATAGAGTTCATAGATATCTATATATATCTTAAATACATTCAATAAACATTTATATGCGGGTAACATACGGAGATTTCACTCCGTGCGGTGCCTGGGTAATAACATATTAAAATGTACATATAAGTAAAGAGGGCATTCAACAGAACACTGTGAGCTGTAACAGTAACACTACCTGTAATTCATAACAAAGATACGAATTTCATGCATTAGTAATCTTTTTTACTAGTTAGGAACATAATATTTACATAATAAAAATGTTGACTTACAGAAATATGATGGATTAATACATTACCAAAAGCTGGAGACTCCATTGGTTGATAATGTATAATAATTGCTTGGCGCCCACTTGAAGCAAAGAAACTGCTGAATGTATTAACATAGTCGTGTTTATCTATAATTCCTTCTTCCAACACAGAAGGACTCGTGTTCAGTATGTAAGCTACCATTTCTAAAATATGCCGGTGGGTTGTTTTCAATAAACCTTGCCTACTATTGCGTTGTTCTTTAAGCTTCGCCTACAACACAAGATATCACGTAAAATATCAACAGAAGTAGTAAATTTTTATTCTCATATCTCTTGGATAATATTAGTAGTATTCCTTGTAATAATATAATAAGGACTGCAATGCTATTTCAAGTATTACATTTGTAAAAGTTTTATTAGTATGCCCAATCTTGGCTTAAGATTATACGAGAGGATCAATCAATGTACATATAATAGATGTCTAATCGTTAGTGAAAGTATTTTCCAAATTGGGTGTACCAATTCGTTTCAAATTATACTATGTGAATGTGGAGGCCCTAAAGTAGGTCTTGAAACTCTTGAAATTTCATTTTTTCATCAAAAAGTTATTTATTTATCATGGTCTAGAACCAACATGGCGTGTTCCGTACACGTTTTCGATGTTTTATGCTTCATGAAGGATTGCACCTAGTTGAATTAAAGAGTCCGGAGATTCGAGAACTTTCCAAAATTTTAAATCGCCAAATTTCACTTCAGACAGAACGACATCGAAGCGCTTAGTCGTAAAAAAACCCGCTCGTATCGGTTCTCGCGGGCAGGCCTCCCGTAATCCGCAATATTAAGGTGAAGTGAAACACGTCGAGGAACTTGATCGACGTCGATAAAGAAGATTTTTCTAAATGCCTACGTTGCCGACGTTCGTTTTTATATTGAAAGCTGTGTCGAATTACATTGAATATTGTACTAAATGGCATACTCCACCTGTCGTTTCCGTACAATAATTATAAAGAAATCGAAGTAAAACTCCAGCAATCCTCTGGATTCATGCTTTCTGGGGCCCTAATTCACTGCAGAGAGACCCCCTGCGCCATCTGTGATTTCCAGGTCAATTAAATTGTCACTCCGAGACCTCGTATTACCATCGCTTTGGCATAGAAGCGCATGCAACACTTTTTTTGCCTTTATCCCGTTCAAATGCGAGTTTATCGATTACCAGATTGTTCTAAATTGTTGTAAAATTGTCCTGACCATTTCGATTCTCATATCAGAGCCTTCGATAATTGTATATTGATCGAAATATGAGAGTTCGACGCCATTTTGGTTCTGGTCTGGACTAAGTTAAAAAATTTTATTGAAAAATCCAAATTTTGAATGTGTCAGGACAATTCTTAGATGATCAGGAGTGATGTGTCAAACTTTCGGACAGTTTGGTCTAATACTCTTAAAAAAAAGTGTTGTATTCGAATCGACTGATTTGAAGGAGGTTTCACTTCACCTTAACACGCTCAACTGATCGATCGCCTAACGGTTTCCGCACTCTCGCCAGTCTCGTTTTCTCTTAAAAGTTAGAATTAATTTAATTTCGGTCTCAGGAGTAGCGAGGCTCGAACCTTCGAAGGATGCAGTTTTAAAGTTGCAGAGGCACGGACTAAAGCTGCATACCATCACAATATATACACATATAGTCAATGATATAATAATTATGAGGGGGAGGTATACATATATATATATAGGTTATAGAAATACCATTTTCGTTACATTTTTGAAACAATATTGTACTACTCCCTTCACCTCCCCCTCAAAATTATTATATCTTTGACAACCAGTTGTAATAATTTACTTACAATAACCTGTTTATAACGTTTTAATCTATACGATCTTTTCTAAATATTCAGTACCGCTATAAAGAACAATCTTTCTGTAATATATATTATTTTGAATTATACAAAATATTATTACGAAAGGAACAGCAGAAATTACGTACAAGTTTTTCTTTGGTGCTTTCAATTGGGGATCCATCAAAAGTACCTATTCTTCTATTCAGTATATCTGCAATTCGTCGATCTATAGCGGGCAATGTATAATCCCGTGATGCATAATATGTTGACGCATTGGCCATCTTAATTGAAAAACTATACAGATTCAACTAACGACACGTTAAAATCAAGTAATAATATATTACAAATGACACCATGTTTATCGGAAAAGCGATGTCCGTGAAGTTGCTCACGCATAACTATCAAATTTTTTATATTTACTTTCTTCTTAATATACAATGTACTGTAGATGTGATCTTATTGAAGTAGTTATTCACTTCAATATTTCTAATTGAAAAAATGTTTCTTTAAATTAAACGAAGGTTACATTTCTGTCTTTAATAACCTTTTTTAAAGCAAAAAAAATTTGATGGAAAAGGATTCGTGTGATATAATAACTCATAATTTCGGTGGAACAGTTTCGGAATTATTTAAAAATGAATTTAAAAATCTTGGAAGGAACGAGAAAGGATGTCGTTACTCTTCAGAGATTAAAAAATTTGCTTCAACACTTCATTATTATTCGCCGAAAGCATACAACTATTGCAGGTGAATTTTCAAAAAGTGCATTGATTAATATCTAATTGAATCTGTTCAGTACAAACATGACACATTAATCTGAAACTATAAATACCTTTAGATCCTACAATTGCTGCATCCAAGTAGCATAAGAAGTTGGATATGTTCCGTAAAAGCAGAACCTGGTTTTATAACAGAAGTATTTTTTGCGATTTCAAGATTTCCCATAGAAATACGAAACTTGAATTATGGATTCTATTGAATTATGGATGTAGGGTAAGTCCGGGATAGTTGGACCATGTTTTTTTAAAGTCATTTTTTCTGAAACTTCGCAATGTCTAGGATTTGATATATTTTTTTATAATATGTATATATGACCTTGAACAATTGTAAGCACTTCTCCAGCTGTTACACTAATCACACTAGAAGTTATGATTTTTTCTTTTTTTTTTTTTACTTGGTAGTCCATCTATCCCGGGGGTACTCGAGTTAGATGACCATCTCCTAGGGATTGATGGACCTCTGGTATACGTTACTAAATCCGGGTGTAACACAAGAAATACATGTTATCAAAGGTATAAACATTGTTTATTTCAAAGTATAAAGTTATAAACTGCTTGAAAAGTGATTAGTATAGAGTTATAAACAATTTGAAAAAGGATAAGTAAATTTGATAGTCAATATACTTAGAAAATATAGGTAGTCTGATTTATATTCACATGGTTCAGAACATTTAATCATTCTGCAGTCATCTTCTTTCCATTTCCATTTCCATTTATCCATCCATCCATATATCCATTTATATAGAAAGTAAAGCTCTAATAGGAGATATGGTACGCCTATCCCAGGTTTTTTCAAGTAGTCCATCTATCCCAATTGTCGGGGATAGATGGACCAGCTTCCCGTCCAGACAAACAACGCTACCGGCATCCCATTTTAGGTTAAGATTGTACTCAAGTAAACACTTGAATTATAGGATTGATCTTACGTCGAAATCATTTAAACTAACTTAACCACATATCAAATAAATCCAGTATAAAATATTTTTCAACTCACCAAAAGAAATAAACAAAGTTTTCTTCTAAAATACGCATGAAACTCACGAGCAAAACTAAGCGTGGTTCCGTCTACTCAAGAAGAACAACTTCGGACAACGACTACAGCGCCGCTGTGACACCCCAGCCAAATATTCGACTAGTCCGTCTATACCGGTGGTCCATATATCCCGGACTTACCCTAAGCATAAAACCTGGAAGCTGGGTCACCAAGTTTTCAAGTTTCCATAAGTAATTACTGTAGTATTTCGGAAGTTTAAAGACAACAGTGATGATAAATATAAATAATCGTAAAAAAATCGTAGGGTATTAATTAATTAAGGAACGTAATTGGGGGAAAGAACGTTTGGTAATAATTACAAGATTAACGATGGAAGCTGAAAAGAAGAAATAAACAAACCAAGGTATTATTGGTGACTAACATAGACGTATGCAAAGTCTTCCATTTTAAATTATACAATTTATAACCTTTTAATGAAATGTAATTGTTTGCATAAAAAAATGAGTGTTATACATTCTTAATGCTATATGGTTTCTTGTGAAGTATGAGCACTTTCGAAACCTTTAGTATTCGGTTTCCGCTTTTTTGCATAATGTTGTATCTTGTCTTCCAAACTATCTGAAAAAAAATTGAAACTTTAACATTTTCTCCATACATTTATCTAACGACTTACACAATGCATTTTATTGTAAGATAACTTCGGGTGATAAGGCCCATGTGGGTAGCAAGGCCCATGCTTATTTTTCATCATATTGCAAAAGTGCAATGTTTGTAACTCCCTCTATCAGTTAGTAGTACAAAGAAGAGTCTATTGTGTCTATTGCCGGGTCTGTGGACGAGTCCATGTAAACAGAGATAGATAAGAAATGTTTCCGAGTGAATCTTATAAAATTTCATTGCAACGTTTAAACTGTTTGTCACAAAGTTTTGTGAAGTACTGCTCTATCTAACAGGTATGTAATACCTTATACTTATCTCTGCATACTGTTGTATGAGTTTTGTTGAAAAGGTTTGTTTTTTAGAGTTTATAACTTGGAAATGTAAATTGCACCGAACGGGTAATAAGGCCCGACATAGTGCAACATAGCGTAACCAAAGATCTTTCTCAAAAAGGACATGAGACTATGACTAGTTGCAGTAAATACAACATTACAACAAAAATTGAGCGACATACCTTAAAAAGAAAAAACGAAGTCTGGCACCTGAAAGAAGACTGAAAACTGGTACCCCAGAACCTTTAGCAAAAAATAGGGTTGCCGATATGCAGCAACGTACTCTGTGCAAGAAATGGCTTTACGATGAATGCCCGAAGACAACATTCGAGGATCTTGATGATATAACTTGCCCTAACTGTGAAAATTAATGTATATCCTACCACCGATGTCCATGAACCTTATTACCCACACGTGCGGTTAACAAAGCCCAGGAGCACCGTGCTCAAACGTTTGATTACGTATTTGTTTAGAAATATATTTTATTTTTAGACCGTAACTGAAATAAACATTGTTCGTGTACACTCTAGTCATTTCCCCTTCCCAAAATATTTAATATTTTAGTTTTTGCAAGCCTTTCAAATTATGGTGGGGCTTATTACCCTAAGGTGGTACCTCATATGTATCTGCATAACACACACACACACACACACGCGCGCGCGCGCGCGCAGTATAGTAAATTGTAAACGCGAATAAGGTTTTTCATCTTTCGCAGTTAATCAAGTTTTTGACATTGAGATACAATTTACGCTCATATCTTTTTTTAGTTAAAATTAATAATTTCATAACTAATTCGAGTATTGGCCTCTATTAGGTGATTATGAATTGAAAATTTGCAACCATAACATTTTCAAGTATTGAATGCGACAATAATTTTATAAATAGTAATTTCTTGTTATTAAACATTAAAAGAACATAGATATAAAATTACACCATCCGTACTAACCACAAGTCACTCTTTTCATAAGAGGTTGATATACTTTCGTTTGTACTCCTTGAAGCAAACAAGTACTTTGACTCCTGATGCCTTCATCGTCATCTAGAATAGTCTCCATTTCTCTTAACATCTCTCTAGTCATTGCAGCCCTGTATAAGAAACGAATGAAAAACGTTTATTGATCATCAAAATGCCAACATGGGAACAATGGCATGTGCAAAATGTGTACTCGAATTGATGAATTCAGATATTTGACACATTCCAATTATTCATCATGAAACACCGTTGAGGGGGAAAGAAACTGTTTATAATGACTCCACCATACTAGTTAACACTGTCACCTGCCATATTTTTTGTTATCGCACTCACAGAATCAGTTCAATACTTCCCATGACTATACCCTCTATAATTATCGTTTCCTCGCTCGTATAATAGCACAAATTGAGATAGTAATATGCTCTCCATTCTTCCATCAATGAAAATCGCTGGCTGGACCCCATCATCTATGTCATTGTCTGCCATATTTATATGACACTAACCGTGACATCTGTTTTCTTATACACTTACTGCACGGATTCTCGTCGATCGTCACTGCTTCTCCTATAGTAACACAGATTGGAGTGCTTTTTTCTCATTTAGCCAAAGTAGGATAGTACCTCTCAAGTATCTATTGTATTCATACTTATATGTTCACTACAACTGGAGTATCTGTACCCTTCCGTGTGTACTACGCGGTTGTTTTCATCGGTCATAATGGAATGAATGTTCTACTATATTTGGCAAAAATAGTTTATTTGAGGTTTTCATGGGAAGGGAGCAATTTGAGCTAAATTTGCAATTAATTGAATAAAGATAATTGTATTTGGCTAAACTTTTGTACACCGAAGGTGTTTTGAGAGGATTTCACTTTTTGTTAAAAAAATGTTAATGTCTTTCTTATGAATTCAGCGATTCCAAGATTCTAGAAAAATCTTTTTTTTCTTATAAAAACCAAATCAGTCTGAAATATTTTGTTCGCCATATGGGGTCCGCCATTTTGAATGTTGAAATTATATTATCTGACATGACTACTGTGGTCTCAATAACATCAAGAAATCTTTTTTTCTGTAAAAATCCAATCAGTTTAAAGCTGAGATGGGTATAGTTCCTTTTCATTCCGCGCGAGGACGTGTCGCATGTTTGCTGCCCCAGAATTATATGACAGTCCACCTATCATGTCTATGGGAAAAAGTAGCCTGTGACTGGGGCGACGACGATGATGATAACAGAACCACGATTCTGAGAGTGCTGAAAAACTTTATGATGCTATATCTTCACGTAGGTACTAGCGATCGAAACCGGGTAAATTTTTTTAATTCCTGATTTTTTACTTGATTTTTTTAGCTCATCAGACGTTCATTTCTTTTTCTATAGTAATGGAGAGAATAGATTCCCATTTCTCCCACTCCTGAAATCTCGATCCTTGGCGTATAGAACTCTGTAGCGTCTCTATCGAGCTCCAGCGCGGAGAGCGCGTTTCTCTCAGCACATGACGCTGTGAGTTTCTCGTTCAAAAATGTATTTGGCTCGAAACTCTATCGAGCTTCTTGATAGATTTCATACATATCTTACGTACATTCAATAAACATTTATATAGGGTTAATTTATGGATATTCCACATGAATGTTCATGAGTTTCAGGATCTGCGTTACGGCCTCCATATTCACGTGGTAAAATTCGAAACGAATCGATACACCCGATTCTGAGAATACTTTTACGAACGATTTGACCTCTCAGATATATATCGTCTGACCCTTTCATATCACCTTAAATGCCTATCGAATGATGACGCGATCTGATGCTATCGCGATGAAACCGAAAAATGGAAATATTGTCGAAATTATTTATAAATTTGTTATAAACATTTATAAACCATTTAATAGTACAAGAAATTTGTTAAGAAAAACACTCTACCCACCACGTCATTAACCCCGAGATCGATATACCATCAACTGTTCAACGATACTTTCCCTCCTAAACTCCATTTTTATGCGGGCAGAAAGTGACTACTTTCCTCCCTTGGAAGGAAAAGTGTAACATAGCACGTGCCAGACAACTTTTGCAATTACAATTTAATATAGCACATATTTAGTGGTTACTAAAGTACATTCTCTCTTTTCTCTGCAGATGAAGAAAGTGATTTCTAAGTACAAAGAAATTTAATAACAACACCAACAATTAACAGCTAATGATACCTTTCTGTTAATTAAAGATAATTTAATCTCTATATTTCATAACTAGAAATGTATATTCGAAGCAGGGCAATTTGTAGGGAATCTGAAGAAACATAACAGACGTTTAAAAATTCCTTATTCATTTGCAGAAGTTTAAAATGATCAAGGTAATGATCGATGATTACAAAAGTTCTCACTTTATAGCATTAAGAGTCCAGTCCTGTTGCAAAGTGGTTATAACGTTTGTAAGTTCGTGATTATCAATAAACCAGTTTTGATTCTCAAACTCACAATGCATTAAACACAGGGGAAGTTCATGAGCCAGATTATATTGTGGCTTTCGTGGGCATATGTTGGTATCTAGAAGATCACAGATGACTCTCGGACTTTCTTTTTCTTGCCCAATAAGAAATAGGATGCCCATTATACAACGAATTTGATGCCATAAAAATGCCTGGCTTGTTATCGTCAATTCACAAATATCATAACCTGTAATAATTCAGATGACGTTAGAATTCAACAAAAATCATACGGCAATAAGAATTTAACTAGTAAATGAGAACATATATTATGTACAACATGTTTTTGTAAAGTCGGTACAGACTGAGCGAGAATTGTTTGTCAACAGTTGGTTAACACTGTTATATGACTACTGGTCCTCCGTAAAAATGGAAATACGCTACAACCCAATATCCGCTGGTTTGCAGATATACTTGCAACACCATTAACGCTTTGGCTCTTAACACCGGATATAACCGGCATCCACGAAGCAACTTCTAGAGACGAACATCGACCGTACCCGGCATCAACGAAAAAGTCGAAAAAGACAATCAACATCGTTTTCACTTTCGACTTATTAATTCTTGCCTTTTTTGGTTGTGGGGATCCCGAGGTGTGCCACTCGCAGCTTTGACGTTTTGTTTCTGGGTCGTACTCAAAACACCGTATTTCACCCCCGGTAATGACATTGTCCAAGAAAGAAGATTTAATCTCCACGGGTTCGAAAAGTTCAGTCGCGGCAGTCACCCGGTGATTCTTCTGATCGTCCGTTAAAATCTTGGGAACCAGCTTGGCACACACCTAACTCATGTACAATTTATCGGTAACCAGTTCATGTACAATTGTTTTGGGAATGTTGGGAGTTTCTGCAATCATCCGGACACTCAACCGACGGTCAGAATTTAACAGATCGCGCACACGGGTCAAATTGTTGTCGGTTCTGCTGGTAGACGGCCGTCCAGCGTGGGGTTCGTCGACCACCTCTTCCCGGCCTTCCTTAAACGCTTTCAACCATCGCGAAACTTGCAAATACGATAGAACACTATCCCCGAAAGCTTGCACAATCAATTAGTGGGTCTCTGCAAGAGATTTGTTCAGTTTCGAACAAAATTTTATCGCGTAACATTGCTCGAGTGACGATTCCATCACGTTTCGTGACATAGGCACTAAACAGGGGTGCGCGGAGACAGCGATCTTGACGCCCCAACTGCTCGGAGCAGATCGGCGAAGGCATTGCTTTGAAGCTGAGAGTCCCCCCCACCTAATCCGACCGGTCCGAACTCTGTGCGGCCACTTTAAGTACCAGCACAAAAGAAATTGCATTACATTCTGGACACACCTCGTAGTTGCGAGCCGCCATTACGTATATGTAAAGTTTGAAGCATTAGATTTCCGTACAATTTGTAATATATATGAAATGTCCTTACTTGATGTTGTTTTGAAATCCCTCCGGTGTTCCGAAATGTTAGCTGTAGAAATTGTTCTATCAAAACGAGTTACTCCATTGGCCACATCCATTTTACAAAAATTCCTAAAGTCATGATGTCCTAATAGATATTTAGTTGCTTCATTCATAACCTTTACATTTAAATCTCCTCTGGGGAATAAATATTTATAAGTTCTATATTTGCAGTTAAATCTGGCTGAGACATTGTTTTGAGCGGGAGACCATGCTACACATCTTATGTCTCTCGGTAGCAATCTGTTTAACAGTTTACAATAAGGTAGTTCCTCTTGTAAGTTATGTTGGTTTTCAGGGCTTAATTTACTCCGAATATCTAAAGAAATTGTTTGTGAAAAAGCACTAACGCCTTTATCGGTTCGTCCACAACGATGATAATTACAATTTTCTCTGGACTCAATACAGCAACTCTTCTTCAATGCTTTAAAGAGATGATATTCAATAGTATTTTGAGTCCCTTCTTGTTCTACAAAACCGTGGTAATCCCATCCAAGATAATAGAATTTTAAAAGAATGTGCCTTGTGTAACAGCTGGAAGAAACCAAGGTATCAAATCAACGAATTAAATAGTATTTTGTAATTCCTACAAAAATTCTGTCATTTCAGAAGCAAGATACGACCAAAAATCAGGTTTCAAATTTCTCAATACTGTTTCCTAAATTTTTACATTGCGTCGAAGTACTATATCGTTCGAAATTATTCTACCACTTAATAGAACCGAATTGGATAACTGCTATTACCGTGAAAAATCGAATTGTTTTCTCGGTTTTTCATTCATCGATTTCCTTTCAGAAACTTCCGACTTTTTAGTTATGATCCTTCTTAATTGTTGATTATGTGCTTCAAGTTGCATAATCCTATTAATCAAACTCTGAAATATGCAAATTATGTACATAAACAAGTGACATATAACAAGTATTAAAGATGTAAACAATTAAAAAATTGACATTAGATCAATATTTTAAATGAAAATACAGAGACTCCTGTTCATGGAATATTTTTTATATATTTTTTTTTCATACAAGCAAGTCAAAATGGAAATCAAATTGAATCTAAATTTTTTAATAGTGTCCTAAATTAAAGAACAAAATCAGTGCCTTAATTACAAAAAGAAATAGACAGAAGGGGCTATTTAAATGGTGATCTGCCCACGTGTTTCCAAAAGCTCCACTTGCAAAAGGAGATAAGCAGTAGCGTAACAAAATAAAAAGTAAAAATACGATAACATACATCCACGTTTGTTCAGAGTACGTACGGAAACAAACAATTGCGTCAATGCTGCCAGATGTACGGATTCCTCGGGACTGTGGATTTTTCAATATATAAAAAATGCGTATTTTTCTGCGGATTCTAAAATTAATACGGATTATTTACCGATTTTAATTTGTAAAGAGCAGCATCGCCTGCCAGAATACGGCAACTCGACACGCACAGGCTAGTTACGCGACCGGCCGCGATGAGGCTACACCTAGGTTCCGCGCTCCCGATAGCGAAACGGCCCGCGACGAGTATATAAAACTATCCAATCGAGCGGAAAGGAAGAAGCTCCGGAAACGCGACTTCTGAGTCTGTTCAGTGAGAAGAAACCCAAAGTGCAGATTCCAAAGCTTCTCAAACCCAGGGCCACGGAACGAAACTTCGGCCCCAGACGATCGCGAGTAAATTCATGACAAAACGAGAGGAGATAAAGCGTGAAAGGTTTTTATGTAAGGATTAGGAACTTAATCATAAGCACACACGATAAATCGAGTAGCAATTACGTATTTCGAACGGCATCACATTTGGAGGCGACAAATCATAGTAACGCGCTTTTTTCTTTCTTTGTAGCTCCCCGGCGGAGATCTCGGCGTTAGTCGCCAGGACCGCAGCCCAGTTGATAATATACCTTTGTTATTATTTTCCATTGAATACCTCGACTACTTTTACTCCACCCAAACCTTAGCCACACGTACCGACGGCTACTGTCTCGGGACGAGAACCGAACGTAGACCGTGGCGTGCAGGGCACCACCTAACCTGGGACGCCAACGGCCTATCGTTACAAATTTTAATTTGTACACTTCACGGTGCTTTAATATCTCCCGCATGCAGATTCTAAATAGAACTTGATTAGTTCTGCTCATGGGGAATCCAATGTCACCATTGGAATCAGTCAACCAAATTCTGCATACAACCTACGAGCAGAAGGTATCCCCTTTTCATAACTTGAGGTAATCGGAGTTTAAGTTAATAAACCAGGTTTACACCTAGTTTCAACCTAATTTAAATCTTAAACTCCAGTTAACTTAGTGTGAAACCGGGCCTAAAGCATCTTTACTAGCTTATTAGCAACGTTCGCTATCGAAGATCTTAAGATGATGTGAAAGGCAGACTTGAACAGTGTTACGTCCCACGTAACGTTCCCTTCACGAGCAACCACTCGAATATTAAACTCAGATAAGAAAACCCAGGATTTTGTGGAAAAATACTAAATCCTTATTCGTTAAGACCTAAAAAAAAATAATATATTCTGCAAACTGAGTGTACCGATTCGTTTCAGATTTATATATATAGGCTGACTCTTTCATATCCTCAACCCTTTCATATCCTAAGCCCGAGTACAAGGAACTTCCCTGCACATGTATCAAGCCCTTCCGGATGGGGTAGGTCGGGAATTGTTAGGTCCCCACCTAACTTTTTATTTTAAGTAATATTAAGAAAGAGACTAAGCAACGCGTCTCGCGCTCCAAAACGCTCCTGGAGACATGCTCCCCCTCGTTCTTATCTCCCCTTTGTTTATCCGAGTACTTCCGCACCCCAAACTAGATGACAGCCCTGGGAAACGTCAAACATTCAGATTCTCTGGAAAAGGACACTTTCCACCTGTTTCCCCTTCAACCTGTCCCCAAGCCAATCACATGAGACACTTCCCTCCTCGATCTTAAAAACCCGCCAATAAGCATCCTCCTCCGCGCCTAGGAACATCCTAGGTCAGTATAAAAAGGCCCGCTCCGAAGGGCTCGCTCTCTGATCTACCGAAGTTTGAACTGTCTCCATTCTGTAACCTGCGTGCGAGGCACCTGTAACTCTCGGCGAACGCTAGTCCCCTTGAGTTGACCGAATCTACGAGTCGTTCCTGTAAAACCGAGAGGCATCGAAAATAAAGTATCTTCGTTACTTTGCTCGACGAGGTCTTTGACTGGTTTCAACCATCTGGAAGTGAGTCCTCAAAACAAACCCACGAGGCACGGTCCGATCGACATCCTCGGGTAATCGCTATCACCGCTCCCGAGTAAATGATCCCCGACCTAACAGAATACGTTGGTAGGCCCGGTTCCCGTGGCATCACGGGACCGCATATACCCATCCCGACAGCCATCCCAAAGACCCGCCGGTCCTGGCAGCTGTCTCGCTGGAAATCGTGGACCTGGAGTAGTCATCACTATCACTACATTCGCCACCAGACGTCACAACCCCCGCATCGGGAGCGGCTATCAGGCCAGGTTGGATTGCTTCGGCTAGCGGGCACCGGGATTCCGAGGTGCGCATGCTCGCACCTGGCGCCCTAATATAAATCGGAATTCCGGATAAGCCGAAAATCGGACTTGACCCCTTTGGTACGCGAGTTCCAGGGCGTATGACGATTTCACGACGAGGGGATAGATTTTCCAGTCGAAGTATACAGGGTGTAACAGAAATGGTGAACACGATTTATACAGCACTATCCTTGTTGAAAAAGGAGTCGAAAAGTCCTGTACTATTTTCCCCTATATTGCATAATTTTCCTGTAATAACTAATTGAAACACAACCAACCAGTCGCGTTCCGTAACGGAACGTATAGCGGAGAACGCTAAGGCTGCGTTCAGCTGTCTGTGGTGTAGCCGCATTTTATACATATAAAATCACCCTATCACCTTGAAAACAATTTGAATTTATTCCTCATGCAGTATATACAACCGAAGAATTGCGAAAAGCTGCATGTCCATATGTGACATAATATACAGATGACAATTAATGTTATAGAGCATCAAAAAACATTGCAGTTTATATATTGTTAAATATAACTAATCCGATATTAATTTACTGGAATAGCACACGTATCAGAAATATTCAGAAGTACTCTCCTAGCTATCCGCATGACTGGTAGCTCTCGTTCATCATTGTCAAATAATTCGAATGCAGCAATGCAGTTCGTATCAACCCCACAAAGAATCTTAAATTTGTCACAAATTTACGCGGTCTTTGCTCGAGTCTTTCTTTCTTTCTTCATATATCTTTCATATTCCTTAGATATCGTAATTTGACAGAAAATGTCTTCTCGAGTAATCTCATGTAAACTATCTGACATTTTCACTAAATTCGAGTTACAAAATCAACCTCCTGATCTTAGCTATGGATCAAAATTCGCTTGAATCAACAAATTCAAGGTTGTGGGTAAAGATAGATTAATTAAATGCATTATAGTTTAAGATTTTCCAAGTTTCGAGGTTCAAAATGGCATCATTTACCACCGCTGACTGCAGAAATGAGTTTGTCTCTCTCTCCCACACGCAAGCATTTAGGTTATAGGGATTTAACCACTTGCGCTGACAGCTAAGTCACAGATTCACAGATTCTCGACGTACGTGGCACGTCTTTCCAGCGCAAGTGGTTACACAAATTTCTCGAGTGTCCCCCCCCCCCCCCTATTTTGCAGGGGTATTCTGAAATCAAATCTGGTAGCACTGAACTGCGTTGGTTTCTGTGTTTTATTAAATGTACAAGGACATTCAGCAAGATCTGTCAGATTCTACCCGTTTTCCGAAACCATAAAAAAGTATATGCGTAATAAGGAACAAAAATCAGGCCAAAAATGCAGCAAGGAATATTAGTAACCATGAAACAGTAATTGGAGGAAGTCAAACGATAGAAGGAATAGTAGTCTATCGATCAATGGATGAAACTCACCTTTTTGTCAAGAAGTTCTAGTTCTTCTCTTGTACAAGCTTTGGCTATTTTACCACGATTATAACTAATATCAGCCATGTTTGTATTTCTTATTGTCTATATAACAATTATTGATTAATTAGCATTTATACATGATAGACCTGAAAAGCCAAATATTATTAAATTAGTTCACTGTTTAAATTGTATAGGTCAAAAAGTATTATGAATTGAATCTAACATGGTATTTTTTGCAAAATACTCTTTCTATATATTTAATCATCTGTTTGTATCAGTGGATCTTGCCCAGCCAGTCTATTACATGTAATATCTCCAAAGACAAGATAGATAATGTCCCCTATTATAAAACAGAATGAAATAAGCATATCAGTGGTTGCATGTCAAGGAAAATATAGACTACATCTCCATTGTACTCCACAATTCAGGAATAATCGGGTCCGAATCGAGTAAACCGCATGTCTTCGTCGCATTAATAAATGCGCAGATTCAATCCCGAGCATTTCAAACGACGCATAAATTTGAATTTACTGGGTTTGGACCTAATAAATCCCGGATATCAAGGATGACAGAGATGTAGTCATAGAGTTCTAATGGATTCCTGAACAGTTCAAAAGTTTTCTACAATTTGTTTCCTTAGTTCTACCAATTTAGAAAATAGAAATTAATATGAAAAAATAAGACGCTAACATCTCACGGTACCTTAATTATGAAAATTGAAATAATACAGCACATATTTTTACAGATTATGACGTGACTAAAAGTTCTAAGTGATACAAATCAATAGTTCCACAAATTGTTAACCTACGTTTAATAACTTTCACTAATATAGTCAACAGTAAATTCAGGGATACAAACGTTTGCAAAACTCAAGCCATATAAGGAATTCTTTAGAAGTATTCTGCTTTATAGTCCTTAATCACGTCACAATTTTTCAGCAGAGTACCATCAGCAAAAACAATTACTTAAAAGTTATTAACAAATTCCAGCATATAACCCCTGGCGCAGATGCTAGAATTTCAGAGTTCTCTGTATGTTAAACAAAATTCCTAAGAATAGTTTTGGGTCAGTTTTGAACAAAACCATCGGCAAACAGTTAGTTGAATGTTGTCAATATAACTTCTTATTGCACTGTAGGGGCAAACAATATAGAAGTCACCATAGAAGACCAGAGATGAGTTGGGAGATTGCTCACGGGCACGTTCACCAGATCGCCGCTTGTGCTGCCCCAAGTCGCGGATCCAGGTGGCTAACGTATGTACACTGACTCATCGATAGTTTCCTATGGCGCGGTTGACCACATGCAGGGGGGTGACACTCCTTATGGGAGAGGTGTAACGCTGAAGTTAGTTCACCCACTCCAAGCAAAGACTGCGCTGGTGTCGTGACTTTTCAGTCTAATAGAAAGAGAAGAACAGAGAAAAAATTTTCTAACCAATAGCAAGAGACTCCAGGAGGCGCAGCGTAGATGCGCATAAAAATAGTCGGGACAACTGAACCAAAGTGAACCTAACCTCGATTAGTGGCAATATTTTCATAAGTTTTGATTACCTCGCGTATTAAATCGCGAACGTGAGTTTGTGAGTAAAAGTGTAAATCAAGAACAGTTTGTAGTTTCTTGCTATAATAATTGTAATAATTNGCGAAGAGGGTTTACTCCAACCGAAGATGGCGGTAGTGCATAAAGCGTTACACCCCAATACATGGCAGTGTCGGCCCCCTGGCCACATGCGTGTAGCACTATTTTATCTGACTCGTTCGCCTATTATTTATTTTTGTTAATGATAAATAAAACACTGTATCGACATAATCACAGTACATATTATTAAGCCTATTTGGCATATATAAACTTTCTTTTGTTACAAACTTAATAGACCGCGCTTTGCGGTACTTCGTCGTTAGACTTTTCTTCTTGTTCTGTTGTATATCTAACTACACGGCGAACTAAGGTGTGTTTGCGCGTTGCCCCGTCGGAGCGCCGCTTGCGGCGTTTGCCTGAACTGTGTATACGGGTATCATTGTCCTAGCTGCTAACGCCACCCACATTCCTCTCGAACCTACTGCCCTCTCCGGTCGCGCGGTGTACTAGGGGCAGGAGCAGCGCGCAATTTGAATCGCCCATGGGGCAAAAAGGATTTCCTAAAGAAAATTAATGTTCATAAAAACAAAATTAATGAAAATGATTCAAATATTATTGCGAAGTGTCCTTGACCCACATAACGTAGTTTTCGCTAAACGATTCTTAACAGAATTTCTTGAAGAATATATTAAAACATGTTTTATTAAAAGTTAACAAGTTTCTTAGCGATTCAATTGTTTCATCCACTGAAACGAAGTTAGAATATTATCTTAGCTGAAGAAAAGATAGTTTATTGATATTTATACTGTGAAATGCCATAGGAAAATTTACAATGCATCCACTTTCGGACATAGAAGCGGAATCATGATTTCATGTTTCATATATGTTTATGTTCTACACCTTTAGGAAGTATATTCTGCCCCTTGGGCGATTCAAATTTCGCGTTGCTCCTGCCACTAGTACGCCGCGCGGCTGGAGAGGGCAGTAGGTCCGCGAGGAAACCTTCGATGAATGCCAGGGTATATATCTAGAGTTCGAAAATTCTCGGTAACATTAAATTGTAGAAGGTAACTGTGAAGCATACTGTAAGTTACCGGGAACATTGAGAATTTAAGAGAACGTTAATTTTGTTATTTATACTTTAGGTTTCTTCGTTTAAATAACTTTTTTTTTTCAATCANTTTATCGATTACCAGAGTGTTCTAAATTGTCGTAAAATTGTCCTGACCCTTTCGATTCTCATATCGGAGCCTTCGATAATTGTATATTCATCGAAATATGATAGCTCGACGCCATTTTGGTTCTGGTCTGGGCTGAGTTAAAAAATTTTGTTAAAAAATCCAAATTTTGAATATGTCCGGACAATTCTTAGATGATCAGGAGTGATGTGTCAAAGTTTCGGATAGTTTGGTCTAATACCCTTAAAAAAAAAGTGTTGTATTCGAATCGATTGATTTGAAGGGTGTTTCACTTCACCTTAAGCAAAATAATGTTCTTACTTTGATCAGTACTTGTTAGAATTGCAAATGTGTTGGAAGTGTTAAACAGGTACTAATCAGAAATTTGTAGACCTCCTGACTCTCAAATAAAGACGCATACCCACTACCACACATGTCAGACATTTTGGACGAATTAAACGCAGCCAAATTCATCTCAAAAAGAGACCTCTCACAAGCTTATTTCCAAATACACACACCCAGACAGTAGGGCTAAGGCTAAACGTGTTTGTACCTTGACATCCTGGGACGTCTAGCATCCAACCGATTACTAGTAATTGTGTTCAGGTATAGGTTCAAGCCAGGACGAAATTTTAGGGCCCCTGGCCTCTTCGGTGATCCCAACGGCATCAGGCGCTGAGACGTACGTCACAACATAGTTTGCAGAAAAGTTTCATAAACTATTGATACCTCAGACGCTATTTTCATATCACCGTTATTCTATTTTTGCCACCTGTACTTTGCCAGAATTCGTTTGTTGGTTCGTTTCTTACATTTTCGTAAGATTTGGGTAAACTAGTTTCGACTTACGACTTTTCTACATATGCAAAGTAGGCCGAAGCTACTTTGTCCTGATGTATTATTCAATTAAGTTTTGCGAGGTGATCTATTACTTCTTGAGGAAAATTATTTATCAGTATTAATATTCCTATTTAATAAATTGATGGGCTACAATCGCTAGATTAACAATATAGATGTTGTGTAACTGAGAATCGTTATGCGGAATGTAACATTATAAATAGGAGTTAATAGTACAAAATGTTTTAATTTGAGGCCAAATCATTTGATAAGCAGTTTATTCACAGTACATAATAGTCAGTGATGACATCTTTGAACTTAAAAGTCGCAAACTATTTCAAGTAAAGGTCGGATTTCTTTATAATTGTATATTGTTAATTTGTTTAGAATTGTAATACTCTAAGCAACATTGACTTATTTACTTTTTATTGTTTGTAACGAAAAATGTTCAAGTATATTACATATAGTACAATATTTTCTTTTGCCTTTGTCATGCGTTAGTATATCAGACTATTAAAGTAGTGCAAAAATATGTTTCTCCACGGCCAATTTAGGTTACTATGAATTTAAATTAATATTAAAACAGAGAACTTAAGGGTATATTTAAATGCAGCGGTAAAATGCATTGCTTGGTGATATCTCGAATAAAATAAAAGAAACAGGATTCAAAATCATAATTATTGTTCATATGGTAATTCTACGTTTAGATAATAAAAGTTAATGCTACTAAGTAACAATGTCAATAGGCAATTAAAACTTATACATTCATTCTTGACCTCCCATAAAAATGTAGAAAGTAGAATACTAATTAGATATAATTGGCAGTAGGAAGTGTTTGATTCATCAAGTTCTTGTAACTATTACATACGAATTAAGGTGATTTGTGCTGTACTGAATTTATGTTTAAGAAGAAGCCTACTTTACAAAAATTCTTCGCACCAATCGGTAAGGCATTGATAACAATCATTGGATTGTTTAGCATTGGCTGAACATGCATCTTTCATCCATTCTTGAAATAACTCCCTATTTTTTTTCAGCACAAGATACTGCCCAAGCACGACGTACGCCTGTAAAAGAAGGTTAAATGATATTTGGTTAAATGATATTTTCATGTTTTCAATGTCGAATACAATTTAGTTAAATAATACTCTAATAGATATAATACAAGTTTTAAGAAAGAATGTATGAATGTGTGATTTGTGAACTGGCGAGCACAACTGACTTCCCTTCAAATGTGCGTAGTACAAGCAGTACAAGGTATTATGAAAGTCATATATAAGTCAGATAGAGTCAAAATATTTATAAAACTTTTCTCCGAATTGGGTGCATCGAAAATTGAGAAACTTTAACACGTCATTATGATAGTCCTAATGAAATTCTTGAAAATCGCGATATTTCATTTTCCGAAAGAAAATCACGTTCTTCATTAGGGCCTCAATAATCATGCCCAAGTTCCAAATAACTCGGTGCACCTAGTTCGAAGAAAAGTTTTATAAATATTTGGACGTTTTATATAGATATATATCGTGCCCCTATATGCCGTTTTATATATATCTGAGGGGTCAAATTGTTCGCGAAAATATTCTCCGAACTGAATGTATTAATTCGTTTCAATGTTTACCACGTCACTATGGAGGCACTGAGGTAAGTCCTGAAACTTATGAATTTTTATTTTCTTTTTAAGTGTATTTATTTATCACGGACTAGAAACAATCTCGCGCGGTCTGTGCACGTTTTTGAGGTTTTACATTTTTTGAAGACAGAATCGAAACTGAAGAGTTTCAGGACCCTAGCTTGAACAATTTAAAATACCATAGAAATGGAATATTACAGAGTCAGATGGGAAAACATGGAAAATACTTTCACCAACGATTGCAAGAGAATGCTGGCTTGTCCCGTGAATAATATGTGTTTTTACGGCAAAAAAATTAATTGCAGCTAGCATCACAGATGGAGCTATTGGTCTGGTAGAGTTGCGGTATTGAGTAACACTTTGGCACATACTACAATGCAGACAGATGTCAAAATCAACAGGCAGTTCAAGAAGAACAGCAGTTTAAAAAAATCCAGCGTATCGTAATTAAGATGGAAAGTAATTTTCTTCCTGCTTTTCATTAAGGGCGCTCACCACTCTAGCGATTTTGTAGGGCCTCGCGGGGACAACGATTCCGAACGTATTTCTAAACCGATCGAGCTTAACGAGTGCTCATATCGAAGATGAAATGTTGACCTGTGTTTATATGGGAGCGATTTTTGATAAGTGGTCATTTTCATATAAAAAAGTGCAACGACATAATTTCAATGCCCTTTTAATGCTATTGCAAAGTATTACCCAATCCCGCGCAGCTACTTCACAGCTTAGTGTTTCGCTGCAAAACATTTAAAGTTTCGAGCGCTTAAAAATTATCTGGGTTCGAGACACCTAGCCTTACACACGCCAAGGTTTAACGCCGTTCACCACCAAAGTGGGGACGATGACTTCCACCGCTAGATGGCATTAGCATCGAATTCGGTGGTAACCAAAACGTACTTTCTCGCTCGTATGAGGGAGACGCGACGCATAATGGGCGGTGTTTAGCACGGACGAAAAATGTGTGCGTATTTTGCACGTATAGGACTCACACAACGGCTAGACGCCTCTGAACTAGGCGCCGAAACGTGTGTGACCCCCGGCCGCACGCACACGCCAGTTGGACACTCCGCCTAGAGTCGGCAACGGTTGTTAAGGAATGCCCAAATTCCTCGCGAGAAACTCGAAAATCCTGAAAAAGGTGCTCCACGGGGACAACGATTTTGAGCGTATTTCTCAACCGATTGAGCTCAACGAGTGCTCGTTTTAAAGATAAAATGTTGACGTGTGTTTATATGGGAGCGATTTTCGATCAAGCACCTCCTTCCTAGTTAAAAAGGCATTGAAATTATGTCGTTGCATTTTTTTATATGAAAATGACCACTTATCGAAAATCGCTCCCGTATAAACACAGGTCAACATTTCTTCTTCAATGTGAGCACTCGTTAAGCTCGATCGGTTTAGAAATACGTTCGGAATCGTTGTCCCCGTGAGGCCCTGCAAAATCGCTAGTGGTGAGCGCCCTTAATCCTCCTCTAATTGCATACGTTTACTATATCGTTTTAATTGATTATATATGAACAGCACAGTCATTACTTTTTTTTTTGTTAAATGTTAACTAAACTTTGAATGAGTATACCTTATCAAAACCTGCTGCTTCTAACCGTCTTCCTAATACTTCACCTACGCCGGCTAGATCAGTCACTGGTTTATCTCCCATTGGCTCAGCCACGAAGTTCTTATGCTTTTGTGATGTGCTCGACATAATGATACGATATCTGCGGGGAAAAAATGTATCAATTCATAGGATCAAGATCAAGAAAAAATTATATATAATCAATATTAACAGATTCTATATATACCCCTGTCCATAAGGCACCGGGCATTTAGTAAAATTTGAACGTGGAGGATGTTACCCACGCAACACACTAACATATAACATACGTATATGCAATTAATACACGAAAAATATATGTATCGTTTACGTATATTGAATGCGCGTACATGTTCATAAACCAGAATAAAACCAAATTATATGTATAATATCCGTATACTTTTTGATAATAAATTATCGTAACAGTATGAAAGAATTTTTATCCATAGTATACGTATAATTTGGAGGTATACATAGATTCATAAGTCAGCTATATCTATACTAGCTGTATACGAAGCATAAATGTGTATGTTTTATCAAAGCATGCAAGTTGTGACATGGTATTTTTATTGGAATATACTGTCACAAGATTTAGTCAAGAAATGATGTACAATATGACTCGGGTTGACGGAGCACGTAATGGAGTGGGGCCGTAAGGGTTTCGAGCAGAATTTTTGTTAATAAATTTATCAAATACTATTATCTTTATATTACATTTGTAAGATTTTATATTTCGCTTAGCTGGAGTTTCTTTAGCATTTAAATAAGTACGATTATTAGTGTCTTCTGCAAACCGCATCTTATCTTAGTTCCTTTATTTCAGAATAGCTGAAACAGCATAAACTTTCGACGATTAATACGTCTTCTCACATTTTACGTTTCTTGTTGTTCCTCATTTAAGTTAGGAGTATCTCCGCTTCGATTGTTTGCCTGTTTACGCCGAAATTCGAACAGGCTCACCGTTACGGGCTGGCATGATGTGCGTGGCACTTAACCGCCGCGGAAGAAGAATAGTAACGCTCAGGGCTGGCGACCGCACGGCTGAGCGAGCGCCGCTCAGGGCCTTCCTTCCTTCCTTCCTTCGCCTAGTGCGAATATTTAAGCGTTTCGAAGCCTCGCCGAATTTCTTAGCCTGTAAGCGCGACGGCCCGGCTCAGTACACGCAACGCTCAACCGCAAACAAACAACCAGGGCCGTCAAGACGTCGACAGGAGAAGCGACAGCGGGGTACCCACGAAGAAAACCTAGGGAACATCGTCGAAGGACAACTTCCACCATCAAGGGAGACACCTCCCCCCCGTCCATCGGGACCACGCAGGGGTTGGACCTGCAGAGGCCGCCGGATGCCGGACCCGCGGGGGCACGGCCTCAGTTCGTCCTGGCGGCGTGAGGAGGTCCACCCGCGGGAAGGGCTCCGACTTCCCGACCAGGAGCCGGACCGGCAGGCAGGAGCCCACCTGCGGCCTCCCGGACATCGCCGATATCGTTAAGGCAGCCATCTCTGTGTCCCCGAGGAGCTCGTTCGCCACCATGTATTGGTGCGGCGGACGGGCCAAAAAGAACCACGATATCAAGGATCAAGTGACACCCAAGACACCCAAGGCGACTCCTCGACGGAGGGACAGCTGGGGCCACGGCCCTGATCGAGCTCCAGGTCACTCGGGAACATCACCCAGGACCAGCCAGCCAGGACTCCTCACCATCGGCGAGGAATCTGCCGACCAGCCCGAGGGGGAGAGACCCTCATAGGTTCGGCCCTGGTCCACGCGCGCAGCGTGAGCCGGTCCCCGGTGGCGCCCCACCCCGGGAGCGCGCCGGCCGAGAAGCTTTGTCCGAAATTACGAAGACGCTAATTGGGCCACGGGCATCCAAATTAGGTGAATAGGGCCTGGCGGAAGCTTCTGGAAACCTAGGAGAGGAAACTCTATAAAAGCGGCCAAGGACCGCGTCCGTTCTTCTTCGCCCGATAGTTCTCAATTAAAACTCGTACGCGCATCGCCAGCAGATCTCGCCACCTTTCCCTTGCCTCGAGAAGGAATCAGTCGCCAGCAGCAACGGAGACCCGGAGGACCGCCACGTCGAGCCGAGGCGGTAAACTCTAAGGGCCGATAAGGTAACCGGGGCCCGGACCCACACCGCGGATAGCCTCCCTCCTCCCTTCTGTTGAATCGCGTTTTCTAGTTTCGGGCCTTAGTCCCTTTTTCTTTCTACCGCTTTTAATTAATCCCCAGGGGCCAAGTCGCGCGGGGCGACTGCCCTGCTGATCCTTCGGGGAGGTAGGGTCACGTGGGACCTTCCATTCCGTCCGTTCGCCTATCGGTCCAAGGCCCATGAGGGCCGACCGCTATCTATGGATTGTTTTAGTACATCAAAAGTTAAAAATATCTGTATAGTATATGTTCATGGAATGTCTGAAGTATTCTATTGGAATTTAGATGCACACCGGCATTCATCGAGGGTTTCCTCGCGGACCTACTGCCCCCTTCGGCCGCGCAGCGTACTAGCGGCGAGAGCAGCGCTGGCTGGAGAGGGCAGTACGTCCTTGAGGAAACCATCGATGAATGCCAGTGTACATTATATGTAACATATATGTTACCAGGGCATCTATATTTTCACCAATGAAATACGTTCCGTAAACGGATAATATATTTCTCTTTAACAGGCATTTGTATTTGCAGTATTATACATGCAAATGACATCTAATATATGTATGTTGTTTGTATATTACGGAATGGAAAATTGCCTTCAACAGACGTATAATATACTGTAACGAGCGCTGACGCGCCCGGCTTCGCCGGCATAGCTCTTCGCGGTGGCTCGACTGCGCCGAGATTGATCAACCAATTGTCGAATCTCGATCATGTGATCGGAATTTTTGTGGCCTGATGGAACTTTTGGCATCCTCAACCCCGATTTAAGGGGTGACATTTATCAGCGATTTTCTAAATACAAACCGGAACCCGTTACCTCTGTTTCGTTACACACATGTATACGAACGAAAACAGCGCTTTAGTAACTGGAGACGTGGCGAATTGTTCGCCAGGGACAAGGGGGGTTCGGAGCCGGAACGAGGAGGAGTTTCTCTGTCAATCATTAGATGTAAGATATCTCTCCATATGTATATATGTATGTGTATGTGTTGCGACGTATATTTTGGGGCTCACTCACACCCACGCCCTGCAAATTGTGACTCCGATGGAGGGCCCCCCCTCGTAAAAAGCCTATCCGCGACCAAGAAGGCGTAATATGGATTGGCGACTGGCGCGACCCGCCTAAATTTATTTAAGTGGCGCTAGGCATGCTATCACATGCCGCGAGCCCAACGGAAACCCCGGCAAAGAAAATCCAACGCGGTCGCGGGATATCGCGAAAGAGCCCCGAGAGCCGGCCACTCAGCCCCGCCAGACTCCACGAGGGACTACTGGGGGCACGGCAGAGTTGGGAGGGGGATCACGCTAGGAATCCGGAGTCGATTAAGTCGGTCGGATTGGAAGACGGGATTAATTAAACGAAATAACAGCAACTACTGACCAACAACAGAAGCCCCTTTTATTCAAACAAAAGAAACAAATGTAGATCGAAACACTTCGGGATCCTTGCGGCATTTTAACAATTAGGTCCCTACACGGAGAGAAGCCGCCAGCTTCTCTCCAGATTTCTGTTCCGGCGCGACGGAAAAAACGAAACGGAGCACAACGCCCAAGACACCGCCCGGACTCCACGAAAGAAACGGGCGGGTCGATGCCGATTAACCGGGGGAGTCTCACACGACGTACGAGGAATAATTACCATACGAGAAAAAGGGCTTCAGTCCCGGCGCGAGGGACGGTCGCTAACGGGATTTCTTCCTAAAATGGCGAGGCGCCACGTGGTCCGAAAAATGGCGGGAGATGGGTCGCGTGTCGAGGAGGGTTACAAACGAAGTTTTCGTTGCGTTGAGCGGAACAGAGAAATGCAAAAACCTACAGAGGGTTTACTCACCAGGTACACATATCGGACACCGGTGGCAGCAATCGGGCGGCTACGGGGTCGACGAAAGCAGCGACGCAGGTTCACGGGCTCCACTCCGGCGACTCCCGAGGTATCCTGGAGAATGACTCCAAGGCTCGGAAGGATTGCCGAAATGTGGAAAACCCTCTCCGCTGGCGCCGCCGGGCCGCCGAAAACCGCCATGCTCCAGCAATTAGTGATTCTTACGCCAGGTATCAGACAGCGTGACACGGCGAAGCATTTAAATGCCCCGATTCCTTCCGAATCTCAGCTGCGACTCGCTAAATGAAAGCGCTCGGCCCAAAACTCCTCCTCAACTCGGACCACAGGTAGTTAAGGCCCGATAGCCCCTGAAACCTTTTCCGCAGCCCTCGCCAATTAACTAATTTAACGCACGCTATACATAATATTTACAAAACACATACTTACGGCTACAGATTGTCCATGATGACCCCAAGAGTCGCCAACCGATGCTGCAATTCATAATTATTTAATTGGATACTTACCACTCCCACCGTGCCCCCACTTGTGATGGCAGAATTCTGCCACGTCACAATATTTACACCCTCAACAATTTTAATGGCACTGTAACTTATCCGTTAATGTGCATTTTGAAATTCTAGTATCAAATTTGGATTTAGCGACCACAAAAAGAAAAGGTCACGGGCCGCGTCGTCGCCATCCGCTCCAAGAGCCGCCTCGAAAACAACGGCCGACGAGTGGAGCAGGAACGACACAACCTGACAACCTGGGGCCACGGGTCGTCCGTCGGGTGCCCGGCACCGCCTGTGGAGGGGGCCCTCAGTTGGTCCTGGCAGCGAGAAAAAAGCCGCCCGCAAGAAGCCCATAGAGACCTTGCGCTTCCTCGACTACCCTTGTCTCTAATGAATCACCAGTCCAAAATTCTTGTTCTTTCCCTCCTTTACGATAGATTTCCCCAACGTTCCTATTGGCTCCTCATACTCTCCTACCACTTCATTTTTCCTCTCTACGAAGCAACAATGATTATTCAACTACGAGAAGACGACACTAGATTTCCACGAGAGAAGCGGAGGAAACTCCTCACAAGAAGCGTCAAGCTACAGCCTACACTTTTTGTAAGATTCCACGTTGAAAGTCATCTAGAATCTAGGGGCTTTTGTTACAACTGCTACAACACCGGAATTCAACAGTTATAGTTCTCGAAAAAATACATTTTTTCTCGAAAACCATTACTTTCTGAGAAACATTAGATATATCCCTAAACTATAAATGTATGATTAACTGCGGGAGATCTTTATGTAGTAAATACGGGAGAACGGGGGGTGGTGAGGAGTAAAAGTGACAAGTTAGGTTAGGTTATATATTCGGCTGCCCCCTTGCCAGACATACAACAGGGGGTCGACACTGCCATGTATTGGGGTGTAACGCTTTATGCACTACTGCCATCTTCGGTTGGAGTAAACCTTCGCGAACTAAATTATTTCGCGGGCTATTCAAATTCATTTATTAAACGAAGGGATATTTTCGGGATTTAAAAAGTACTTGCAATGATTAAAACAGGCGTTGCTTAAACTGACACACACAAATGTAAGAAAACAGTATATTAAACATAAAATAAGTAACAAAAGTGTCAGTGGTGCAATGCCTGTTTTAAATCACTGTAAGAACTGAAATAATTACATTAAACATTAGTTAAAAAGTCACATATTTATTAAGATAAAAATATTAATTATTATGAATGTATAAATATACAAATTCTATACAAATTTAATTTTTGTTATGATTACTTTCATGCGGAAGGATTAAATGCGATCTATAGACCGCATTTAATCCATTTAATTATTACAATTATTATAGCAAGAAACTACAAACTGTTCTTGATTTACACTTTTACTCACAAACTCACGTTCGCGATTTAATACGCGAGGTAATCGAAACTTGTGAAAATATTGCCACTAATCGAGGTTAGGTTCACTTTGGTTCAGTTGTCCCGACTATTTTTATGTGCATCTACGCTGTGCCTCCTGGAATCTCTTGCTATTGGTTAGAAACATTTTTCTCTGTTCTTCTCTTTCTATTAGACTGAAAAGTCACGACACCAGCGCAGTCTTTGCTTGGAGTAGGTGAACTAACTTCAGCGTTACACTTCTCCCATAAGGAGTGTCGACTCCCTAGACATACAATGATTAGGGTAGGGTAGTTAAGTTAGTTATATGCACTTGTTTTGTATTTCAGAAATGTATCTCATTTTTCTCGAAAAATAACAATTTTAGAATAAAAGTTTATAGAACATAAAATATGTATTTTCTCAAAAGCTACAATTATTATCTGAAACCTTTTCTGTGAAACCTATACTAATCGAAAAATGAACATTTGAAAGTTATCAACAATCATTTTCACCTTGAGGATAACATTTGCACCAATTTCTATTATCATATTCACAATCAGCGGGTCAAAGTACATGGGTATATGAAGTTTCAAATTAATCAGAGGAATGCCCTTTTCGGAATTTTATCCAACAAAATAATATAAATAAAAGAGTAACACTTCCTTTTATTAAGAACGATACCTATCTACTAGAAACACATAATATGAATTTAAATTTCAACGTTGTGTTTCTGTTCAGATTTTGTGATGAACTTCAATTCAAACACAAGAACATTTGGGTCAAATACACTAGCAGACGAGTCCAGGGATAGGATTCTTCTTACTTCAAAAGTATCGCATATACAGCATCCAATTCCACACAGATTTTACACCGTCAAAACTATCACTTTTCACTTCAAGCAGCTTTTGTCCCTTTTGTAAGATCGAAGAGGGTGAATTGTCTTACAGATTTATGGAACAGCATCCGATTCGACTTAGCATTATTCAAGAGCTCCTAATTCATGGAACATTTTTGGCTAATAAAATTACGTAATTTTCCCATTTATATGGCGTTTCCCTCTTGTAAGTCCATTAAAGGATGGTTTTCATTTATAGGGGTGAAGCACTAAATTCGGGAATGTAGTATTTATGGAGCACCTAATTTATGAAGTATTTTTTGTTAAAGAAGTTACCCAATTTTTTTTATTTATGTGGTACCTCCCTCTTGCAGGTCAGTATAACGGTGGCTTTAGGAGTGGACCACCAAATTAGGGTACATCGTGGAATATATTTGGTTAATAAGAACAATTTTCCTATATGTGTCAATTTCGCTTGTAAGTCTGTTTAGGGGTGGTTTTTGGCCAGAGGACTGGTGAAATGTAAATTCTGTAATGAATGTTTAGAGCATTGAACCCTTTGCGATTGGCAAATTTCTCTGATGGAAGTATCAGATAGTCGGAGCACATTTAGTCAGCTAGCAGCGTCGACTTCTATGACACTCTGAAAGTGCCGCCACTGTGGCGGCACCGATCGCAAAGGATTAATTAGCACCTAATAATGGACGCCGTAATAATATTAATTGCATTATAACAAGTATTATTTATATGTTTTCAAAGATACAAAATTCCCACAAAAACACCTTTTATGTAAAGAAAGACTTGTGCCAAATTCATCATTTCATACAGATATATTTTATGATAAGATTCTCACAACCTGATATTTCTAAAGACATGAAATCAGTCACCCCTACCAAATACATACATTGTACTTTATATATAAAATAAAATTGTACAGAAGTCTATCCATAAAATACTGACTACACACGCAAAAGTAATGAAGTCACTTCTATTAAATACGTGTATTGAGTTACGTAGAAAATAAAATATGTCTTAAAAGTAAAAAAATATTTGGTGAGCCCAATACTAACATATTTATCCATGATAGTCTTTCATGCAGTCAGATTTCTTACTTACTCAAACTGTGATAAAACAATAAACGTTAATTTCATTGTCCTTTAACAGCAATAAATTTTACTATAGAACGATTAAATGAATATTATTAATTATCAAGTAATAAGTTCGCAATTACTTTTACTACCATATGTAACACATCAAATAAAACACGTATGAATAGTTGTGCTTATATCAGTTTAAAGTTATTTCATTTCAAATAAGAATGAAACATTCTTCAATAGTTTACTAAATATTTTTTTTATTTTCAAAATACATTTTATTTTATATATAACACACAATTTATTTATTTATCAGAAGTGATTCCATTACTTTTGTGCATGTTATTATTACTTTATGGATGTTTTTGTACAATTTTATTTTACGTGTAACACAATGCATATATTAGACAAAAATAACTGATATCGTACCTTTTATGAGCTCAAACGCTACTTTGTAGAATCATTTTCATAAAATATGTGGGTATGAAATAATGAACTTGGAAAGTTATTTTTACACCAAAGGTTTTTTGAGAGGATTTATATCAAAGATGAAACAAATTTTTTTAGGAACATTTATTATAAGAGTATTATCCTTGATCGAATAGTTTTAAAGGATTCATTAGTATTAATTTTGTTCTAAGATGACCAAGCTATAGACTTATTATTTAAACCGGTTTCTTTATACATTTAAAATTACAAACAAGTGGATTATAGAAGTCGATCATATTTAGAGGTTTGTAAACCTCTGACGTACATAGCAGGTATAGTAACCTTTCCTACAAATCATAAAATATAGAAAGTTCATGTATTACTAATATCAACAATTAATAGTAATTGAATTACTTAACACTTTATCTATCGGAAGCCTATTAATTGGCTTTACGATGCTTGTAATTGTCATTAACTTCCAAATTTTCTTATAGTTAAGGTGTTAGTAAATCTATATTAGAACATGAAAAAATGTATGTGCAAAATTTTAATGATTTATATTCTATTACAACAAAGATTTGAATAAGCATTTTGAAAGAATTGCGGATGTCAATACATCATATATTAGTTACATCTACTATAATAAATCTATGCACTTTAACACATAATGCAATAAAAAGCAGAGGCAAATGCTTTCGGCTTTTAAACATATCCCATGCATTTAAGTAATAAAATAATTTCATCAGCATATGATTACTTCGCAAATGTTTGTATTTGGTCACTCGAACCATATATTAAACAAAATAAATTATCTTTGACCTTGCAATCTAACATGTATGAATATAAAAAATGCTTCACTGCCAAATACACGATAGTAAGTTAATATTTTCATATTTTTCCGAAACTTGAAACACAAATAAAAGTAAGGAATGTGAAAATACGAATCAACGTGTACTTATAAATATTATAAAACTACATAAGTTATTGTAGTAAATACATACATTTCGCCGCATCCAAGTTAAACGTGAAAATGACGTTCCCAGGCACTCCAAACAATAAAAATTAATGAAAATTTGTGCCCGCCGTCAACAAAAATAAACACCGATAGATTAACACATTCCGTGTGTATCACAACAATTATTTACTAAGTCATCACCGTCCATCACCGTCAGTTACAAAGTCTCCATTGATTACATCTCCATCGTCCTCTTAAATCCAGGATTTATCGGAACCAGATCCAATAAATCGCTGTCTCCATAAAAGAGATAAGTTGGGAGATTGCTCACAGCCAGGGATGCGCGATCGCGTCCTGTGCTGCCCCCGGTGGTGGATGCAGGCGGCTGACATACATACATTGCTCCTTAAATATTTTTAAAGGAGCTGCGCGCAAGGAATTTGAAACTATCGGTATTATTTACTCGTACTTCGAGTATCGCCAATTATATCTTAGGTAGTTACAATTCCTACAATTAATTAAAAATACTTTTGGACGTAGGTAATGCGTTCTTCAGAACCTTAGAACATGTTTTTTTCACGATTCTATCCATCTCTGTCATGACACCCATGAAGGCCATTAAAGTGAAGTGAAACACCCTTCAAATCAGTCGATTCGAATACAACACTTTTTTTTAAGAGTATTAGACCAAACTGTCCGAAACTTTGACACATCACTCCTGATCATCTAAGAATTGTCCTGACACATTCAAAATTTGGATTTTTTAACAAAATTTGTTAACTCAGCCCAGACTAGAACCAAAATGGCGTCAAGCTCTCATATTTCGATCAATATACAATTATCGAAGGCTCTGATATGAGAATCGAAAGGTTCGGGACAATTTTACGACAATTTCGAACACTCTGGTAATCGATAAACTCGCATTTGAACGGGATAAGTTCAAAAAAAGTGTTGTATGCGCTTCTATGCTAAAACGATGGTAATACGAGGTCTCGGAGTGAAAAATTTAATTGACCTGGAAATCACAGATGGCGCAGGGTGTCCCTCTGCAGTCAATTGGGGCTCCAGAAAGCTTGAATCCTGAGGATTTCTGGAGTTTTACTTCGATTTCTTGATATTTATTGTACGAAAACGACAGGTGGAGTATGCCATTTGGTACAATATTCAATATAATTCGACACAGCTGTCAATATAAAAACGAACGTCGGCAACGTAGGTGTTTAGACAAATCTTCTTTATCGACGTTGATCAAGTTCTTCGACGTGTTTCACTTCACCTTAATGGGCTAATTTAATAATTTTATAGAATATTGAAAGCCAAATTTGGTTTCCTCAAAAGTAGAAGGGAATGTATCCATTTGACTGGCTCACTGGAATCATTCTTTCTTAAAACAATCTATGGTTATTACGTTGTCTGTCGATTATAAAAATCTTGAATTAATCGAAGCTTAATGCTCGTTAATTTAAATTTATTGAGTTCTTTTCAAACGGGTTGGTAAGAAGGACAACAGTTTTTGTTATGAGTACAAATAGTGGATATGGTTTTAGATACCTAACCCTCCCATTCAATTTTCTATCATAAAATTGCAGGATTCTGATTTTTATCATGAAATATTGAAATTGTTTTTAAATTCATAAATAGCGTGAAAATTCGGTGAATGATATAACGAACGATGAATGTCAATGAATAACTGGAATAATTATAACGTATCCTAAGGAATACGCATCTATTGCCTTTTTAATGAAATCATGGTATGAGTGCTACTGTTTGCGAGAACTAGTTAACCGTCGACGTTATTTCCTTGTCGTTTTGAATTACTAGACTCATCTATTCAATGATCTTTTATTTTTCTGCATCCATTTCTGATGCTATTTAACATAATCAATTTTTTTCTTTTCTTCCTTGCAGAGATTGTATGGGTCATTATGTACATTCGACTTTCTCTAACCCCTCCTTTTTCTGCACAAGTTTTATGCTCCGCATTGCTCAAATGTACTGAAATTTCTATGAATAGAGGATAGACCTTCAAGTATACATATTCTCATGAATAATGAAACAAGTTAAAATAGTGTCATTCGTCTGTCAGTCTATGTCCTAAGCAAAATATTGTATTGGTTTCACAATACAATTTAATTAACGGTAACATACTTTAAGAGTTCGTGACCATTGAAATGAACATTCTTACAATCCCACAGGAACGCGTTTAATTTGTACAAAAGTGCTCCTCTCTGTAAGGATATCAAGAATTAAACAATGTACTGTGTTTCGATAGCCTCATAGCTAAATTTTCTTTTTCGAAATGCCGGAACGATTTTGACGCTTCTTGAAAGGCGCCTTTTGGACGTTTTTACTCTTCCCTGTGCTGGATCTGCGAGCGAATTTAGTCGATTTTTCTTTCCTCTTGTCATTGGCCCTTTAAATGGAATGATTTGTATTTAACAATATTATTTATTACGAATAAACAGGAGAAATAAAAATATGAATTCACTTACTCGTGACGCATTCTCTTGACGCCTTTTCTACTTATATCAGTCAGATCATCGACAAAAGATGACTTCTTCCTCTTCAGTGATCCTAAATTATTAAAAAAATGATTGAAATACATTCGATATCGATGAAAGATGGATATCTGTAGATATCAAATAAAAGGCCTAATGAAAAGGAACTAATTAGTTATTTCTTATTTCAAAAGCATCTTAAGTTTCCAATCATACAATTTTCGACAGCTAATTTTTATTTATCAAAATTTTCAAGAATTTACGAGACTATGAAGTCATAAAATTTAACGACACACATCCTTTTTCTTGAAAAAGCAATATTTTTAAAACATATTGTTCATGTTCTCTCATTCCAGTCATTAGATAGAAATTTCATGCCCATTTATAAACACTTACCTCCCTTCGATGCGCGATAATCGATGTCAACAACTGTTCTGATCTTCTTCAACTTGTTTTTCTTCTTGGCTAGTCTTGCCTGATAAGCTGCCACCTTTTCCAATTCTCTGGCTGCTCTATCGTCAGCTGTTTCTTGGTGTAGCGCCTTCTTTTTCCTTTTCTTGGATTTGGCATATTCCTCCACCAAATTGGGAGGTTTCATTTCCTTCTGTTTGTTACCTTTATTCTTCGGCTGTTTCTCAGTTAGGGTTAATCTTTCTGCAATCCAAAGCAATCAAGTATTTTTAACTCTTATTTAAAAGAAAATACTTCGCGAATTTTTTTAGTTTATAAAATTCTTGTTTCGCCCAAAAAATATTGGGTCGATGCATAAGTTCGTGCGTTTTCTTGTAACTTGTTTTCCTTCCTTGTAACTAGTTTTGCTAGTTCAAAAAAACGCACGAACTTATGCACCACACCAATATATTCCATCTTCTCTGATTTTTATCTCAAATGATTCTTATTAACAATGTACTACCGAATGATTAATGGAAAGCCAATATTATGTTAATTGAATACATGTTTGATTCACGTTTAGAGATAGTTATAATAAGAAACAAACCCTTTTCTTGTTTCCTTTCTTTAGTATTTTGGAACCAACTTCTCTGATTCTTATCATTGCCGCCTTTAAGTAATTTTTCAGTTCTATTGGCTTGATTCTCTAACTTGGCTAATTCTCGTTCATTTCTTTCTTCTTGTAGGATATTTTCTACGCTCGCCTCGAGCGACTGTAATTTAGCGTTATACTTCTCAATAATGTCCACGGGTATTACCCGATTTTTTACAGGATTCCTAGCTTGTTTAATAATTTCTTTTACCAGAGACCTTTCTTGCTCTCCAGCTAAGGATACAGAGACCCCAACTCGACCCGCACGAGCTGTTCTTCCAACTCTAAAGGTTAGTAATAGATGAGAATTAGTAAATCATTGTTTAATAATAAAAAGATAAAAGAGAAATAAGTAGAAATCCACTGAAACGATCTTTAGTCTTTTACCTGTGAATATAATGTTGCATCGTGGGAGGCATCACAAAGTTGATCACAGTTTTTACTCCGCTAATGTCCAAACCTCTGGCTGCAACATCAGTGGCCAATAATACATTTATCTCTGCATCTTTAAATTTTCTCAAACTTTCTAACCGCTGAGGCTGTGTTAGATTGCCATGCAGCTCTCCAACCTAAATATTAATTAGAAAATATAAATTAGATTAATGTTAATTTTATAGTAACAATTTTTACTGTGATAAACATGGATACCTTTACTCCAAGCAAACCTAGTAAAATGTGGAGTCTATGAGCCTGTTTTTTTGTCTGAACGAACACCATGGTGTGATCATGGAATGTTCTACAAATTAAGGCAGCCAATACTGCCTCGCGATCTCCCTCCCTATCCTTCCGAATACTGTAATTTAAAAAGTAGAGGAAACTATAATTAATTTAAATAACATTTATTAGTAATAATTCACGATTGTGCTGCAACAGAAACCCACCGAATGAATTCCTGCCTTAAATTACAAGCAACATCTTGATTGCTGTCTACAAACACTTTAACTGGCTTATCAAGAGACACAGCAGCCAAATCTTTTACTTCTTCGGTCATGGTAGCTGAGAACAAAACGGTTTGCCTAGTTCTTGAACATTGCTTAACGATATGTTTCATCTGCTCAGCAAAATATTCGTCCAACATCCTAAGGGTTTTAATAATTTCATCTAGTTATTCAGACAATACCTACACTTTAATATACAGAATACATGAATAAGCTAATTTGAGGAAAAATAAGATATTACCTGTCAGCTTCATCCAAAATTAACACCTCGATATTGTCCAATGAAAACGTCGGTGTATTGGCCAAATGATCGATTAAGCGTCCAGGTGTAGCAATTACTATGTCTGGATTCTTTCTTAAAATTGTTTCCTGAAAAGTAGAGCGTTAATTTTCAATTCGCTCTACAATAATAAAGGTACCTTTTTATTGGAGAATGACTTACTTGTATTTTGACATCCAAGCCTCCAACGGACAGTCCAACCTCAATCGTTGTAAACTTACATAGTTCTTTAGTAACTTGATAAACTTGTACACCCAATTCTCGTGTTGGTACAAGAACAAGAACTCTTGATACAGACGGTCCATCAACAGGCTTATATAATAATCTTTCTAAGGTCGGTAACATGTATGCAGCTGTTTTTCCTGTTCCAGTAGCTGCACAGCCACATATGTCACGGCCCATCAATGCAACTGGAATTGTGGCTGCTTGAATTGGAGTTGGGTGCACATAACCGATTGACGTTATTGCCTGTAGAATTATTATTTGATGTAATATTAATTAAGATAAATCTTATCAGAAGACTGGTATTATAAACAATAAATGAATGTACCTTCAACAACGGTCGAGATAAATTCATTTGATAAAAGGAGGCATGATCATCATATTCTTCACATTTTTCAAAATCCATGAGATTCTCTTCTTTATTTATAACTTTCTTTTTTACTTTACTTTCTTTTGTTTTGAATAAATCTAGAAAGCAAAATATTACTCCTTTAGTTACAAGATATAATGCAATAAAGCAACCGAATTTCTTGAATTATGAATCAATGCTTACCTTTTTTTAATTCATCATCAGAAAGTACAATACCATCCTCTTCATTTCCATACTCTAGTTGACTTGCAGTTTCTACATTTATAATTTCCTAGAAAACATTAATGTTAAGACGATAACAGCAATATTGTCTTCAAATTCCTTCAAATATCTTACATTGTCCTCCTTTCGGAATTTCTTAATCTTGTCATCAAGTTTCGTCTTTGCCTTCCGTTTGATATATTTATTGAGATCGTTCCAAGTATCGTGATTGTATTCCGATGCATCGGCGATGAATTGGAAATCACTTTCAAAATCCTTTTTCTGGGCTTTTTGATGTTTATGTGGCTGAAACTGCATAAACACAAAAATAAAAGTGAATGAAAAACACACCTACAATGACCATTTTTATAAAATCATGTTTCACGGGGTAAATAGTATAAATAAGGAAAAATTGTATAAACAATCTTACATCATCTTCGTTGTCTGATTTCTCCGAAAAATCCGTAACCTCCTGATCGTCTTCTATGGTTTTAATTAAGTCATAATCTTTAGCCATCGTATTGAATGAACATTAATTGAACTCGATTTTAACCTCCAAATGAATTAGTACAAATATGAGTTGGGAGATTGCTCACGGGCAGGGTCGCGCGATCGCGTCGTGTGCTGCCCTCTGGTTTTGTACGTGAGCTTTCACCG